TATTTTCTCTCTCTCATTTCAGATTTCCAGCACTTACAAAGTTTTGCTTTTGATCAGTGGTCATGCAGTGGTTATGACTGTATTAGTCATCCTGAAGCTGGTAGAACTAATGTGGCAAGCAGAAATTGAAATCTACATTGATACTGATATGTTAAACTTTAGAAGCTGAAATCTGGAAATAAACAACTAATGCTAGTAAAAGTAACATGAAACAGTTGGAATGTTATTACAAACACATCTAGATCACTCCTGTCTATTTGAGAAGAAAATCTGCCTCTCTGCTTTTTATGTGACTGATGTCTCACATCAACATCCAGTGCCTTTCTCAAGGGGCTTGACGATAAATGCTGATAGGATGTTTCCCCTCATGTGGACCTTCTAGGACCGGAGGGCATAGTATCAGAATAAAGGAGTGCCAATTCAAGATTGAGATGAGGAGAAATTTCTTTTCTGAAGGTTGAGAGTCTTTGGAACTCCTTGCCACAGAGAACTGTGGAGGCAGAGTCTTGTGTATGTTTAAGGTTGAGGTAGATAGATGCTTGATCAAGCAGGAAATCAAGGATTATGGGGAAAACGCAGGAAAGTGAACATGACGAATGTCGAATCGGCCATGATCCTATTGAATGTTAGAGCAGGCTTGAGGGGCCAAACAGCCTACTCATGTTCCTATTTCTTATGGTCTTATGCTCTCTGAAGTGTCATAGCAAATGCCTTGATTATATCAAACTGTTGCCTCCTTCTAAAGGGGCACATGTTGGCCTTATGGTGACACTGACAGCCAGACGATGAATAAACAGAAAAGGCGTTATACATTATATTGCTACAATTTAGTGATTCACACTCCTACTCAAGAGCAGCCAGTGTTGGGCTATTAATGCTGTCATTGTCCATTACTTGAGAATGACTAAAACAATGCAAATTTCTCAAAATACTACATGAATTTTCTTTAACCCGATATTTGCAGTATTTGAAATTTCTATAGCCATTTCACAATAACATTATCAAATGTCAGTTTCAATTCAGTTGGTAGCATGCTTGCCACTTAGTCACATGTTTCTGGAATCATATTCTGCTCCAGGGCCTGTGCATAATAATCGAGGCACACACTCCAGTGCAATGCTGAGGGAGCACTTCATCTCAGTCACAGGGCATTTTTGCATGGTCCATCAGGGTTTTGTGCTTTATCTTTAACTGCTTCATCCAATAACCTTCGCTCCACTTGAGCTAAAGATTTCTGAGCTTGTTGGAAGCTGGAGTGACTGTGGAGCATCAGGGAGAGTGACAGTTTCCTGAGTCATACCTTCCAGACCATCCAACAAACAGTAAGAGTTCAGGATGGCAGCTGAGTGGCCACTTGGCGAATTACCTTGGTCACAAGACATTGCTGCAAGAGTCCTTCAGGATAGTGTCATAAGTCCAACCATTATTAGTTCTTTGTCGATGACCATCCTTCCAATAAAGCCAGAAATGGAGATTTTCTCTGACAACTGTAAGACCATAAGACATAAGCAAAAGTAGGGCATTCAGTCCATTGATTTTGTTCTGCCAGTCAATGAAATCATGGCTGATATATTAATCTTCAAGTCTGCTTTCTTGCCTTTTCCCTATAATCCTTTATTTTCTTACTGATTCAAAATCTATTTATCTTGACCTTGAATGTACTTAACAACCCAGCCTCTGTTGCCTTCTGCAGTAAAGAATTCCACAGATTCCCTATCTTCTGAGAGAAGAAATTTCTCCTCATCTCTACTTTAACTGTGGTATGTTATTCTCGGATTTTGCCCTCTGATCTTAGATTCTCCTACAAGGAGAAATAATCTCTCCGCATCTACTCCTACCTAAACTCCAATGAGTAGATGCCCAACGTATTCAACCTCCTCACAAGACAGTCCCACCATATCCAGTATCAGTCTAGTGAATCTTCTCTGGACTGCCTCCAGTGGCAATATATCTTTCCTTAGACAAGGGATCCAAAATTGTTCACTGTGTTCTAGTGTCTGGTATAGTTTTAACAATACCTCTCTACTTTCCTATTCTATTCCCTTTGAAATAAAGGCTATCATTCCCTATTACCTGCTGAACTTGAATGCTAGCTTTCTGTGGTTCACGCAGGAGGACTACCAAATCTCTCTGTTCTGTAGTTTCCTGCAGTGTTTCTCAATGTAAAAGTTTCTCTACCCCGTCTGCCAAAGTGCATGACCTCACATTTTTCAACATTGCATTCCACCTGCCAAGTTTTACTCACTTCCTTTACCAATTATCCTCTGTAGACTCTTTGTGTCATCCCCACCACTTGCCTTTCCATTTTTTTTGGTGTCTCTGCAAACTTGGCTATTGTACGTTCACTTTCCTCATCCAAGTCATTAATGTATATTGTAAATAATTGTGGTGCCAGCAGTGAAACCTTTGGCACTCCATTAGTTACAGGTTGCCATCCTGAAAGTGCCCTCCTTATCCCAGCTGTCTGTTTTCTATTAGTTAGCCAATCCTCTATTCCTGCTAGCATAACTGCTCACTGAAATGGTCTAATAAATCAATCATTTCTAGAGAAATTAGGGATGGGAAAGAAATGCTGGCCCAGCCAGTGTGGATTCCCTTGTCCCCTAAAAGAATTTTTAAAAGTTTGCAACTCCAAAGATATTGAGGCAGCCCTTGTCCATACCGAGCAAGACATGGTCATCATTCAGGCTTAGTGTGATAAGTGAAAAGTAACATTTGTACCACGCATGTGGACCATATGACCATAGAGAGAATCTAACTGTGATCCTTCGCATTCAGTGGCAATACTGTGGCTGAATCCACTCTGTCATCTTGGGGTTATCATTGACCAAAAACTGAACTGGATCAGCTATAGTTTGCTTACATGAACAGGTCAGAATTATGTGGCAAGTCACTCATCCCCTGAGTTCCCAAAGCCTGTCCACCATTTATTAGGCACAAGTCAGGAGTGTGTTGGAATATTTTCCACATGCCGAGGTGGGTGTAGCTTCAAAACACTTCAGAATCTGGACACTATCCAGGACAAAGCCTGCTTGATTGGTCCTCCATCCACCTCCTTAAACAATGTGCCATCCTTCAACTAAGGGCAGCACAGTGGCTCTGTTGTTAGCACTGCTGCCTTGCAGCACCAAGGAACTGGGTTCAATTCCAGCCTCGGACAGCTGTCTATGTGAAGTTTGCACGTTCTCCCTGTGAGTGTGTGGGTTTACTCTGGGTGCTCCGGTTTCCTCCCACAGTCCAAAGATGTGCAGGTTAGGTAGATTGCCCACAGCATCCAGGGATGTACTGGCTAGTTAGATTAGCCGTGGGAAATGCAGGGTTACAGTGACAGTGTAGGGGAGGTGGGTCTGGAAGGGATGCTGTTTGGAGGGTCGGTGTGAACTTGACGGGCTGAATGACCTGCTTCCACACTGTAGGGATTCTATTCTTCTAGTCTATTTGCTCCCTCCATTGCCAACACTCACTGGCTACAGTATGTACCAGCTCTACAATGGAAACCAGCAACTCAGCAATTCCATTTTAACAACAGATTCATGGGACAAGGGTATCGCTGGCTGGTCCAGCTTTTATTACCCATCCCTAATTGCCCAGAGGGCAGTTAAGAGTCAACCACATTGCTGTGGGTCTGGAGTCACCTGTAGGCCAGACCAGGTAAGGATGGCAGTTTCCTTCTCTAAAGAACATTAGTGACTAGATGGGTTTTCTGACAATTGGCAATGGTTTCATGGTCATCATTAGATTCTTGTTTCCAGATTTTTTTATTGAATTCAAATTTCACCATTTGCCATGGCGGGATTTGAATCCGTGTCCCCAGAACATTACCTGGGTCTCTGAGTTAACAGTCCAGTGATAATACCACTAGGCCATTGCCTCCCTATTACATCCTAGAAAAGCAAGGGCAACAGAAGCATGACAAACCACCATGCTCAGGTTTTCCTCCAGCTTGGAACAGTATACCCATTTTTTTTCACTGTCACTGTGTCAAAATCCTGGAACTCCCTCCCAAAAAGCACTGAGAGTGTACCTATGCCACATGGACTACAGCAATTCAAGAAGGCTGCTCACCACCAGGACAATTAGGAATGGACGATAAATGCTGCCTTATCATTGGTACCCAAAAGAAAGAACAAAACCAAATTGTAAAATAGATGTTAGATTGTGTAAAATACATAGTGTGCTAACAAAGATTGAGAAAGGGTCACTGGACCCTAAACATTAACTCTGATTTTTCTTCACAGATGCTGCCAGACCTGCTGAGCTTTTCCAGCAACTCCTGTTTTTGATATTGTTGTGTGCTAACAGAGGTTACCTATGCTAGAGAATATATATTTCACACTTCTCGTAGCTTTCCTTTGTGGCACTTTAAACTGAGTAATGAAGGAAGAGTTAGAGAAAAATGCATAAGATTCAGCTTGAGAAGGATGGAAATCTGAAGCCAGCTGACTTGCATGTTGCCAGCAATCAAATACATAATTAATCATTCCTTTTCCTCAAAAAAACCCACATTCTCAATACTAATTCCCATGCTCATTGCCAACATTTCATTGTGTAATACAGACTGTGGCCAGCTCAAATTTAATATGAGAATACAGCCCTTTCCAGCTCCCACTGTGGATTTTAGTGACACTCTCTTAGTCCAGCGTTGCACAAGAATTCTTAAAAAAAAATCTGGCATTAAAAATGCTTTCTTAATGGTGACCACATAATCATTGTTGTTTGTAATAAAAAAAAATCCTCCTGGTCTGGCTTGCAAGTGACTCCAGACCTGTAATGTGTTTGATTCTTAACTGCCCTTTGGGCAACTAGAGATGGGCAATAAATGCTGGCCTAGCCAGCAATGCCAGCATCCCATGAATGAATTCAAAAAAAGTGGCTGTAAAAGAATGCCCTAGCATTAACCAGCAGTTTCAGAAAAGATGGAGGGCACATAGGTGGGAAACAAAGTTAAGACAGATGAATTGTAGCATGAATCCTAACATTGTCTCATCTCTTTGTTTCAGGTCGTCACCTCTGATGTACTGCAGACAGCACGAATACTGATTCTCCACATGGTGAGTCATCAGAGCTCAACCTTTAACTACTGTGAGTACCATAGGTATTATGTGGGTCACACAGCGTTGGTACATGTCCCACTTTGGTTAGAGGCTGGAAGTAACAAGAAAGACAAAATGCAGATAACCACCTTTCATTGAGGATTTCTCTGAAGACTTCTGTAGCAGTCATTTCTCCATAGTGAACATATTTCTGACATGTTAAGTTCACTTGATGCTTCCCACAATTTTTCCTGTAATTTGTGTGACAGATTAAGCCAGGCTGTCTCTGTGCAGCTTTCCATAGCATCTTTCATGATCGTAGACTGGCTGAAAGTGTTTTATAGCCATTGAAATACAGTGCAGTTAGTGTTGTAACTAGGAAATGCTTCAGCCAATGTGCACACAAAGAAAGATATGATGACCAGGTAATCTGTCTTCTGATGACACTGGCCAGGACACTGGACAACTAGCCTCCCTTTATTGAAATACTGCCTCTTTTACATTGACCTAAGAGAGAAATTGGGACCTCAATATAATGTGTCATGGCAGCACCAATAGTTCAGAGCTCCTGAGTGCTGGAGTATCAACCTTTTTATTCATGTGTCACTGGCTAGGCCAGCATTTATTACCCAGAGGTTAGTTAAGGTCTGGCGTCATATGTAGGCTAGGCCAGATAAGGACAGCAGTTTCCTTGCCTGAAGGGCATTAGTGTTTCTCCCCAACAGTCAAAAATGGTTTCATTGTCATCATTAGAACCTTAATGCCAGATTTTTATTGAATTCAAATTCCACCATCTACTGTGGCAGGATTCAAACCCAGTTCCCTAAAACATTACCTGGGTATCTGGATTAATAGTCTAGCGATGATACCACTAAACCATTCTCACCCCTGGTTTTTCAAGTCTAGAGAGATGGAATTGAACTCACAGGTTTCTGACCAAAGTGAATGCTACCACAAAACTGCAGCTGGCACTGAACAAAGAATAAAACTTATTATTGAAGTTTTGGGGCAGAATGCCTAGGTAGTTTGTGTAGCAGTTTACTACCCAGTGTCCTATGTACTCGAATGGCCCCAAGTTTGTACTCAATCAGCTAATCTAACCTGGCAATCATGGAGGCTAAAATTGGAATTAACAGTCATAGAATAGAAACCAACAAGCTCACCTTTTCAGTGCCCTCTGCTGGGAAATGGATGTTAAGTGAGGATAGGATCAGATTTTGCTCTAACCACTCAACAATTACCAATGTAACAATCCAGTCATCTGGTGAGCACTGGGGAGGCTGGTGCCTAGATCTCAACCCCCACAACCCCAAAGAAGGTGCCTGTATCATATTCACTGCTGTAGACACTAAGATTTTTTTCCTGTCCACTCTGTTTGTGTACTTGCATCAGGGATTGTACGGAGACAAATTTGGGAAGAAAAATTGAATAAAGCGTACAGAGTTTACTTTGAAGTGATTACATTGAGGCTTGAGATGATAAGGGATAAATTACATTAATGCCACGCAAGTAAAGGCAATAACCATCTACAAACATACAAACAAGGAACAAGAATAGGCCACTCGGCCCTTCGGGCCTGCTCTACCATTCAACAAGATCATAAGTGATCTAAATTTAATCTCAGCTGTACATTTTTTGCATATCCCCAATAATCTTTCATCACCTTGATAATCAAGAATCTATCTACCTCTGCCTTGAAAATATTTAAAGATGCTCATCCACTGCCTTTTGATGAAAGGAATTCCAAAGATTCTCAAAACTCTGAGAAAAAATTGTTTCCTTGTCTGTTTTAAATGGACATCACCGTATTTTTATAAGCTCTAGTTGCAGATTGTCATAAAAGAGGAAACATCTTCCGACATCCGGTCAAGTCCCTTCAGGATCTTACATTTCAATGAAGTCACTTCTGACTCTTCTAAACTCCAGAGGATACAGGCCTAGCCTGTCTAGCCCTTCCTTATAAGGCAGTTTGCTCATTCCAGGTGTTGATCTCGTAAACCTCTCAACTGTTTCCAATGCATTAACAACCTTCTGTAGGTATGGTGACCAGTATTGTACACAGCACTCCAGATGCAGTCTCACCGATGCCTATATACCTGAACCATAACCTCCCTACTCTCGCATTTAAGTTCTCATTGAAATAAATCATAACATTCTGTTAGCTTTCCTGATTACCTGATGCACCTGCATACAATAGTACTTCCAAGAAGTGAAAGGTAAGTTACGTCCCATTGACATTTAACAGCATTATTGTCGCTGAATCCCCACAAATATCTTGGGGGTCACCACTGATCAGAATGCAATAGCCAAATACTGTGGCTGTAGTAACAGTTCAGAGGCTTGTTATATGGGGGTAAGTATCTCCCCTCCTGACTGTTCAAAACCTGTTCACCATTTACAAAGCAGAAGGCAGTGTGTGGTAGAATACCATCTACTTACTGAGATCAGTGCAACTCCAACAACACTGAACATCATCCAAGGCAAAGCAGCACGGTTGATTGGCACTCAAGAAGATGACTCAGCACGACCTTCACAAGGTTAATTAGGAAAGGATAATAAAATACTAGCCATTGCCAGCAATGTCCAAATTCCATGAATAAATAAAACATGTACCAGGTGTACTAGAGGAATTCTGGAGGGTATTTTAGTATAAAGCCATTATCCGTTTTGCACTACATTTGCTTTTTTTATGAAAAGAAAAATGTACTGTCTGTTCTGTTGATTTGGATTACATCTGGTTAATTGGCAACTCAGACAAATTAAAAGATTCGTCACCAATGATTTAAGAAGTGGACAAGGAGCTCAATTAGAAATCAAATAAGGCAAAAAATACTGCTGGAAAGTAATGTGCAAGAAAATTAGAAGCAAAAGACATCTTGGTTTAAAAAAAAATTGTTTCTTTTGGAATGTACTAAATCAACAACGTATTGAAGAATGAGGTTGGTGACGTGCATGGAAAAGGATTACATTAGATAATGGCTAAATTTTGAAATAATTGGAATTAACCTCAACTGAGAAAGAAAATAACTTGCATTAAATAAAGCTTTTTTTTTAACTTCTGGATGTCACAGAAGACTTCACAGTTAATTAAGTACTTCTAAAGCATAGAGACTATTGTAACATGCAAAATGGGCAAAACACACATTTCGCATCAGTTTTTATTGTGGAGAAAGACATGTAAGCTAGGGAACTTGGGGAAATAAATATTGATGTCTTGAAAACAGTCCACAGAACAGGAGGTGCTAGAGTTCTTAAAAAACATAAAGGTGGATAAATCTCTGGGACCTAATCAAGTGTATCCCAGGACATTATGGGAAGTTAGGAAAGAAATTGCAGGGCACCTAGTAGAGATATCTGTATCATCTACAGCCACAGATGAGTTGCTGAGGGACTGAAATGTGTCTAATTTTGTACCTTTATTTAAGAAAGGCTGTAATGCTTGACTGAATTTTTCAAAGAGGCGACAAACATGATCAATGAGGGTAGAACAGTGGATCTTGTTTACATGGATTTTAGTAAGGCTTTTTGACAAGGTCCCTCATGGTAGGCTCATCCAGAAGATTAAGATGAATGGTATCCACGGTGACTTGGCCGCGTGGATTCAGAATTGGCTTGCCCATAGAAGACCAGAAAGTATTGGTGGAAGGATGTTTTTCAGGCTGGAGGTCTGTGACTAATGGTGTTCCTCGGGATCCAAACTGGGACCTCTGCTGTTTGTGATATATAAATGACTTGGGTGAAAATGTAGATGGGTGGGTTAGTAAGTTTGCAGATGATACAAAGATCAGTGAAGTTGTGGATAATGTAGAAGGTTGTCAAAGGATACAGCAGATATAGATCAGTTGCAGATATGGGCGGAGAAATGGCAGATAGAGTTTAATCCGGGTAAGTGTGAGGTGCTGCACTTTGGGAGATCAAATGTTAAGGAAGAGTATAGTTAATGGCAGGACTCTGAACAGCATTGATGTACAAAAGGATTTTGGGATTCAAATCTGGAGCTCCCTGAAAGTAGCCATGCAAGTAGATAGGGTGGTAAAGAAGGCATACAGCATGCTTCCCTTTATCAGTCGTGGAATTGAGTATAAGAGTTAGGATGTCATGTTGTAGGTTTGTAAGACTTTGGTTAGGCAGCATTTAGAGTATTGCATTCAGTTCTGGTCACCACATTACAGGAAGGATGTGGAGAGGGTGCAGAAGAGGTGTACCAGGATGCTACCTAGATTAGAGGGTATGAACTGTAAGCAGAGGCTAGAAAAACTCAGGTTGTTTTCTCTTCAGGGGTGCAGGCTGAGGGGAGACTTGACAAAAGTCTATAAAATTATTAGAAGCCTAGATAGGGTTAATGGTCAGAATCTTTTTCCCAGAATTGAAATGTTTAATACAAGGGGGCTTGTATTTAAGATTAGAGGACACATGAGGGACAAGTATTTTTAAACAGTGTGGTAGGAGTCTGGAACGCATTTCTGGGGTGGTGGTGGAGGCAGATACAATAGGGGCATTTAAAGGACTATAGATAAGCACATGAATATGCAAGGAATGGAGGGATATGGACCAATGGCAGGCAGAAGGGATTAGTTTCATTTTGCGTCATATTCGGCACAAAACCAAAGGGCCCATTTCTGTGCTGTACAGTACTATATGTAAGGAAAAGCCTGAGAACTATAGACTGGTGAGTCTGACGTCAGTGGTGGGTGAATTATTGGAGGGGATTCTGAGAGATAGGATTTACATGCATTTGGAGAGGCAAGGACTATTTCGGTATAGTCAGCAAGGTTTTGTGTGTGGGAAATCATGTCGCATAAACTTGATTGAGTTTTTTGAAGATGTAATCAAAATGATTGATGAGGGTACAGCGGTAGACATAGTCTACATGGACTTTAGTAAAGCCTTTGACAAATTCCATATAGTAGACTGATTGATTATTAAAATTAGATCACATGGGATTCAGGGAGAGCTTGCCAATTAGATACAAAATTGGCTTGATGGTAGGAGACAAAGGATGGTGGTGGAGGGTTGTT